GGAGGACTGGGCTGGTGCTCTCCTTGAACTTCCTGTCTCTGAAAGCTTCTCGGTATGGGACCCCAATTACTGTCACTTTCCGCGCTGATGCACACTGGACAGCCCAGGACGGCCCCTGCCCCCACTCCAGAACTTAATCAGCGCGATTAATCGTTCGTCTTTTAGAATTTCTCCAGCCCCTTTGCCATGCTTTCAAACACGGTGGAAGTACAGTCTGAAGATGTGCAGGCAGGCAGTGATGTGGCTTTTTGGTGTGCGGCTGCCCTCTGGCGGCAAGAAAAGAACTCCAAGATACCGGGAAATTAAGTGACCCCCCTTCTGCTTTCTTTTTCTTTGGGGTTAAGATAAAAACTTGAGTGTTTGACTAGTACAAACTTAGAAATGTGTTTTTTTAAAGGCGATGTACAAAGATGAGAATGTCCACGAGCAAATTCTGCAGAGATGTAACGCTTTGGAGCCTTACCTGACAGGGAGAACTGGCCTCAATGTAGATGTGGACATGCAGAATATGGGCGCTCGGAATTTCTTTAGAGCTGATTTTCATGCCTGTTCACCTCTATCCAGGCTCCTGACAGAGTTCTAGAGGATCAGGCGTCTAGTTATCAAGTTATGACAAAGGAAAGTCAGAGAAATTAGATTGTGTGCTCTCCCACACTGGGAAAGTTACAGAAATTCTGTCAACGCCGCATGCTGAGAAACGGTAATCGGCCTTCTTAATGGTGGGGTCCGGCACTTGTTTTCTCTCTTTGCAAAGAGTCCATATAAACAGAAGTAGCATAACTTGCTGGAATTTGGGGTTACTGTCATTCTGAGTGTGATTGTGTTCCTGCTTATTTAACCGATTTATTTTCTCTATGAATTTCTCCAAGTTGGGGCAAAAGAAGAATTGGAAATTACATATGAGTAACTAAAGGGGTGAGAGAATACGGATATCTCTTTTGTCATCAGCAGCTGATGTATCTAAAGTCCTCATTACATCCACTAGAAAAGTAGAATTTAAATCGGAGGACTCGGAATACAGAAGGGACTGAGTGTCCCCAGTTTGTATTCTAGCAGGGTTTCCACCAGCTCCAAAGTTGAACCTCTTCCCTCGAAAGCATGTTCCGTATGTGTCTCACAGCATTGCAGCCAAACAGAAATGAAGTTGGAGAGTAGAGGAGCTTCTACCAAATGTAGAAGGTAGGAGTATGTCTGACTGTTGTAGCTCCTAGAATTGCAGGGAACTTTATGTAAAGGAGGGATGCCGCAGTTCAGGTGACTGGACCTCAGACGTGGTCTCTGCTGTTCAGGGTAAATGTCTTCTAGGAGGGTTGGAGAAACGTTTATCCACGATCTTTGTTTCAAAACTGAACATTGTCGGGGTGGAGGAGATGGCTCAATAGCAAGCATGAGAGAATCAGGTTTGGAAAATCAGGCAAAGCTGTGCATACCGGTAACTCCAACATTGCTGAACTACATTTGGGGGAAGAGACAGTCAAGTTTCTTTTGGAAGTTCCCTAGATCGTTCATATTCAATGAGAGATCCTGTGGAGAACTGTAAAAAAGACACCCAAAATTTTAGAGTGGGCATCGGGGACAGGCTACACCCCAATGAGATGCCCTCAGTGACCTTCCTCTTGCAGAGTGTAGGCCAGATGCCTTGAAAACAGTGCCACCTGCTGGAGAATTGTACTTAGTGCATGATTCAGTACGGGAATATTTTATATTCAAATAATACAAATACACTTTTATCATCCTTTCTTTAAAAGTATACTTTGTTTTATTTCACTTTTTAAAAAATTCCTTTCATTCTTTCTCTTTTACTTCCTTCTTTTCTTTCTTTCTTCTTACTTTCTTTTCTTATTCTGGGGATTCAACCCAGAAGTTAATGCATACTAGGAAAAATATTATGCCATGGAACTACATCTCCAGCCCTGTGTTTGGTTTCTACATGTGAATATATGCATTTGTATCAACTCCAGCACGTAATTACCCATGCACCCCTATATGTCTGTAGACTCTGTATCTTGTCAGTAAGATGAAGTGGAGAGAAAGGAGCAGGCACCGCGATGCACACCTTTAATCTCAGTACTCAGGAAGGAGAGGCAGGAAGATCTCTGAGAGTTCGAATCCCACCTGTTCTGGTCTAACTAGTGAGTTCCAGAACAGCCAGGACTACATGAAGTATCACTCCCACAACCCCCCGCCCCACACACACACACAAATGGAAAGGTAAATCCAGAAGGTAGGGGCCAGCATATTTAAGTCAGGAGTAAGAGCATAGTGAGCCCGGAGCCAGGATGGTGCTGAGCACCTAATACCCGCGAGAAAGTCTCACACACACACTGGAGAAGAGGGGGCAACATTTCCATCCTGACTTTTTCCAGTCGTTTGCACAGAGAGAAATTTGATCAGGTACATGAGTCACCATGTCCATAAAATGGAAAAGAGCTGCCACTCTGGCAGAAAATTGCTTCAGTCCCCAAAACCCTTCCCTTTTGCTTAACATTCTTACCTGAAGCGGGGCCAGAGTCTGGACTAAGTGTCTGTTTGGAAGGAAACAAAAACCCCGTCTTTAAAAATCCATGGCTGTAGATGTAAGAATTTAGAGGGCTTGAAATTTAATGGCCCTGTCTAAAGTTCTAAAAGAAAGACCTCTTACCTATGACAAAACTCTATTCATTCAGTAATATGAGGGGGAAAGTTAAAAACTCGTACTAAACTGTGGTTCAAGAAAAAAAAAGGAACTACAAAAATTATATTTAGACAGAGGAGATGACTCAAAGGTTAAAACGTTTTCTGTGTAAGTATGAGCAGTTGAGTCCAAACTACTAGAACCTCCACTCATCTTGCTGCAAACCCAAGGCTGTGGAGGCTGGAGACAGACCAATCACTGGAGCTCGCTGCTGCCAGTATAGCTCCGGGTCCACGGAAAGATGATGGCTTGTGGGATTGAGGTAGACGGTGATAGAGGTGGACGCCTGGCATACCGCTGTGGACTCTGCATGCATGTGCATGCGTGTGAGTACCCATAGCATGAATACCTGTGTATACCACGTATATGTACACACACACACCCCACACATTTGCACAGTGTAAATACCTATGTGCAGCAGGTATGTGCTAACTGAATATGTGCACACACTATATAGTCACACACATATACACCATACAGTTACACACACACACACATACACACACACACACACACACACACACACGCAAAAATGTAAAGACTCGGGGGCTGGAGAGATGGCTCAGAGGTTAAGAGCATTGCCTGTTCTTCCAAAGGTCCTGAGTTCAATTAACAGCAACCACATGGTGGCTCACAACCATCTGCAATGGGGTCTGGTGCCCTCTTCTGGACAGCAGGCATACACACAGACAGAATGTTGTATATCTAATAAATAAATATTAAAAAAAAAAGTAAAGACTCCCCAATACGGAGATCTACCAATATACAAATTCAGAAGACCACAGGAAATCCGAAGCCAAGCAGCAAAGGTTTAACCCTTTTGAGGACAAGAGGAAAGAGTTGTCTGGTGTTCACAGACGATGCACAGCGGAATCTAGAGTTTATTCTGAACGTCTAGCTCTGTTTTTGTCAACGTGACTCAGTCACAGCCATATGTCTTTTCTAGAAAGATGGGACAGTGTTCAAATCAGCACAACAAACGTCAGACAGGTGCTCTCAGCCCTTTATCCCACCAGCACAGAGCTGATTTCTTCCTGGGGTGCTTCTTCAGGCTGTAAGCTCAGGCGTAATAAATGTGACCTCCAGGAGGCAGGAGCGCACTCTAGTTAAATGGAGGAGCCTGGGGCCTAGCTTCCCCATAGGCCAATAATTAAATTCTCCACTAGGGGGCAGCAACTGGAGTACAACTGGAAGGAACGTTAATTTCAAATCTTTCTGTTTATATTCGAGAACAACAGTTTACAAAAGTGTAAACATTCTAATTTTATCCTGGAAAATGTGACCTTATTAGCTTATAGGATTTCAACACACTAACTTAATATAAAACACAAAACAACAAACGAATAAGAAAGCAAACTTTCATAGAGATGCCTTCCAAATAATAAGGGAACTTTTTTTCTTTGAAAAAAAAAATTCAGAATTTAGGTGTTTGGATTTTTAAATCCAATTTAGGGGCTAAGAAAGAGACTAAAATGGTGTTGGTGACAATGAGACTTATTATTTGTTGACCAGTGCTGCCATGTACCAAAAGCTGTATTTAAAAAGCTTAAAAAAAAAAAAAAAAAAAGTGGACCCGGATCAGGAACAACCAAGCAAGGCCAGATTTGCGCCTGAGTCTGGACAGAGCCATTACATGTCCTTTCCACACCCTTACGCTTTTTCCCCCCCTGCCGGAGCTATTTTCACAAGGGGAATTAGAAAGTGCGTGCAGGTTATAAATTTGCATGCAAACAAGGACACATTCCCATTATGACTTTCCCTTACCTAGAGACACACACCATTAAATCAGTCAGGGGCGATGTTGTAGCTTGAGTCCAGCTACACTGAAAGCTAGCCGTGGATATTCGTTCAAAAGCAAAGTAATAAATTCACTCATGCAGAAGAAGTAAGTGTCCAAAGGTATCGTAAATAAAAGGAGAAGAAGGCTAGGGAGTAGAGGAGTCCGAGGTGCTCCACTGGAAGGAGAAAGGGAAGCGGGAGCGGGGGCGGGGCAGGCTAGGCGCTCACATACACTGCCTTCACATTTCTGGAGTTAGAAAGCCTCATCTGGGCGCTGTCTTGAATGGACACAAATAACCCAGTTCAGCACAGACGAGTCGAGTAGCATGCATGGTGACCCCTGAGCAGGACTCAAACCCCACAGAGGCACTTTGCAGGCAGTGAAAACAGGCAGAGTACAAGAACATCCTAAGGGTGTGAGCCTGGCATCAGGAGGACCCCCCCCTTCATTTAATTCCCGACCATCCTTTCTACGCTGGAGCGGAACCCACAACAAAAAGAGTAATTATAAGTCAGACAGTACAAAGATCAGCACGGCCAATTTTGCTTTGTACACAATAATTTATTATCCAGTAAACCTTCATTTTTATATACTTTACTTCAAGTCTCTTTAAGAGCGATAAAGCGAGAGAATAAGGCGTTATCCAAGAGCACTCTTGGGAAGAAGGAAAACCTTGATTTACACACTAAATAGCGTTAGGCGTGGCAGTGGGGGCTTTAGGGAAGAGGTTCTGGGAGTAGGAGGTGGTGCACTTGTTCCCAGGTATCCACACCGGAGAAATGACTTTGAGGGAAAAGCTACTTCCCTGTCCTCTGGAGTCCTTAAGCCAACTCCCTCCTCTGATAATCTATTCTGTCCTCATTGTCATTCAAATGAGTCCTCAGAGTGACAGCATTCCTGGAGTGTCACCAGTGCCTTGCCCACTGGTGACTTGTACCCCACTCTGGAAAACCGGCTTCACAAAGGAGAAAACCCAGACTGGACTCACACACAGGCTTCACAGAACGAAGCAGGGAGGCCAGCAAAACACAAGCAATGCTCACCTTCTAAAGGACAACGGGGTGTTTGGTCACAGGGCTAGCGACACAGACGCACACATTCACAATGCACGGACAGATTTTCCTGCGAAGGTCGAAAAGGCGTTTTAGAGCTTTAAAGAAGGATTTGCAATTTCCTCAGACCAATAAAGTGGTGAGGGTCACTATGGTAACCAAGATGGAGACCACAAGGAGCAGAATCATGCCAAAGTGACATAATTTCGATCGCTTGTTGCGTTTCCTCTTCTTTTTCAGCAAAGTGTCAAAGCCTGGAGTGTACGTATCCCCCAACCAAAAGCGCAGATCATTGGGGTTTTCCTAAAAGAAAACAACACAGAGAAAATGTCACTCACCAGTGACCAGTCAGCATTACAGTGGATACTTGGGAACAAGATGCTGCCAGGGGCCCCGAGTGTCTGTATCATGTTGTTTGGGGTAAGGTGTTAAGTGTCAAGGCTCCAACAGTAAGCTCGACAACTCTAAGCATCTCAGAAACACTGCCACAACTGACTGACTGTGGGAACCTGTAGGAAAATTGTCTGTCTGTATAAGAATTTATTAGGTGGCCTGCACAACGCCTGTGTTAAATTGCTGACCCTTCTAAGTCAGAAACACCATAGTCATCTCTTCGCCAATTGTGTTTTTCTAACCTCTTGCGAATAATGTCTATAAATCAGTTAAGTGAGTTGAAATACAATTGACATTCCCAGCTTTAGATGGACCTTGGAGGTTTTCTCTCATTTTTGTGGCAGAGATGAGAATCTGGTTAAGTTTCGGGAAATCCCAGCTGATCTCCCTGAAGGAAGAATAAGCCTAGGTCTGAAGAGCTACTTCCATAGCAGAGCTACAGAACAACTTCCACAGAGAAACTCAGGGGACACGATGCATCTTTGCTCGTGTTAGCTCCAATCCATAGGGTGTCTCTGTCTTCTGTGGAGTGCCAGAGAATTCTCTTTAAGAATTCTACTCCTCCTGAATATTAACCTTCATCAGGCGATGAAAGGAGACAGAGACAGAGACCCACATTGGAGCACCGGACTGAAATCTCAAGGTCCAAATCAGGAGCAGAAGGAGAGAGAGCACGAGCAAGGAACTCAGGACCGCGAGGGGTGCACCCATACACTGAGACAATGGGGATGTTCTATCGGGAACTCACCAAGGCCAGCTGGCCTGGGACTGAAAAAGCCTGGGATAAAACCGGACTCGCTGAACATAGCGGACAATGAGAACTACTGAGAACTCAAGAACAATGGCAATGGATTTTTGATCCTACTGCACGTACTGGCTTTGTGGGAGCCTAGGCAGTTTGGATGCCCACCTTACTAGACCTGGATGGAGGTGGGTGGTCCTTGGACTTCCCACAGGGCAGGGAACCCTGATTGCTCTTTGGACTGACGAGGGAGGGGGACTTGATTGGGGGAGGAGGAGGGAAATGGGAGGCGGTGGCGGGGAAGAGACAAAAATCTTTAATAAATAAATTAATTAAAAAAAAGAATTCTACTCTCAAGTACCTGATAAGTTGCCTGTACACTTGACTAGTCCATATACTTTTTGAAAACAAACAACAATAGCAACAAAAGACCATTTTCCTGTAATCTCTAACTAGTTTAATGTAAACAATCCTGTGTCTCATATATTAAGTTTACAAAGATAGCTAGGTTACCACTTGCACATATCAACTGCAGGCCTTGAATTTCCTTGCCTGGATATTTTGAAGGATTTGAAACAGGCTATCACCCTCAATAGTTTGAGTGGACCTAAGTCTGCTACTGGTGTCACAAAACCAATATCTGGTAGCTGGCAGCATGTAGGGTTTCTGAACTAGTTTCAGACTTGGGGCTGTAACGCTCGGAGGGACATGCACACATAAGGAGTTGGGATGGATTTGGCAATTGCAATTCTCCTATAGAAACTTGTAGGTGGGCTTAAGTCACCCACTTAGAAAAAATTTCTCCTACTTGCCAATGATCTTCAATTTCCTTAGTGTGATATCCAAACTTAAAAATAAATAAAACATTTGAAAAAAAATTAATTTTTTAATTGGCAGTCTTTGAATCAGGTAAACTATTTCTATTTACTCAATTCGATGGATTTGTGTGTGAGTAGGGATGCTCATCCACCGCCCCCTTGTCACATTTGCACAAAGCAAAGGCGAGAGAACAGGCCTGAGCTTGTGCCCAACAACAAGCATCTGTGTGTGACGTAAATCAATGCGCTTTCCCCAGTAATAGCCTTAATGATATAAAGTCTTTGGTAAAAAAAAAAAAAAAAAAAAAAAACACGAAATTAAACCAAAACAAAAAAAGAGGAAAAGAAATGCATTGTTGTTGCCATGGGAATGTGTGTTTTGGGAACTTCTTGGGAAGAAGCTAAAGGAGCTTACCCTCGAGCAAGGAGATTAAGAGCTGTCCATGATTCTGGACTATTATGTATTTCAAGGAATGCACAGTCGAGGTTTTAAAACGAGCGTGCAGAACATAAAAGTCTACAGTACCGCCTTCTTTAAAAAGAAATGTGGTTCACGGCAGGTGGTTAAGGTATGAGCTCGCACCAGACACACGTTTTTAAATGAAGGGTACTTGGCAATGGCAGGCCCTTCTTGCCTAAGGCAGGTTGAAGCAAGCAGAGGCTGGTCAGGAATCCAGTCCCTTCAGACAACAGAGGGTCCATGCTGGCTTTCAGGCATTTGGGTCTTGTCTGTGTAGGTGATATCAGAAGAAGGAAAAGGTAGGGAAAGAAAATCCTAGGCTGGTTTCATGAGTTCGTTGTGTATTTTTCCTTGTGGAAATGTTTGTTTTGAGACACAAGAAAAACGGCCAAAACATAAGCCTTCACTCTTAAGTCATTTCATGGACTTGAAATATTAACCAAACGACTGTTGGGAAGGGCTTCCTTGTGCAGCACCTAAGTCTGCTCACTTCATAGGTAGTTTTGAAAAATGTAGAGGAAAAAAATGCGTTCCTAGGTGGCCATGAGCATAAACAGCTACAAGATTACTAATGAGGGAATACATGTATGACCTTACAAATTAATTTGAAAAACAATTGGCGTCTTCCCAGGAGACCTTTTGTCATTGCTACTTGCCTTTTCTCCTCTCTACGCTACACAGGTGTCATTGGCTGTGCAAAATACCAAACAAACAGATAACCCTACATATTGGCTGGGAAAGAGAAATAATTTTAAGGACCAAAAGGACCGGTGGTCTTTGTGTTTAGTGGGGCTTCTGCCACTGCTGCAGCACCTTCTGAGGTCCACTCGGCTGATGCGGTTGAGCAGCTGAGGGTCATTCTTAGTAAACGCACCTTCAGATGTCCGCAGAGATTCGTGTGCGCAGAATGCTTGTCATATTCTTCGATGGTCCACGAAGGACTCTTCTTTCTTTCTTCCCTAGCTTCCTCGATGCCCATCTCACCATATAATGGGTTATTCTTCATGACTGAAGACATGGACCGTGGGGGACTGTCAGGAAGGACTGCATTCTCCCCACCAAATCCCTTAGCCCGTTGAGGAGAGATGCTCTTTTCTCCCTGTTAGGAGATAAGAAAATAAGATGGCCTTGCTGGTAGCAGAGAAGCCAAAATGGCAGAAATCTGGATCTGAAGATTTATTAATTATGTTTCAAATTCAACAGATTGAGCAATTTACCTATAAAATGACTCTGAGGTCTGCTTTAATTAGAATCCTACCATTAACTGAGTTCTCTCTTTATATGTTGTCCTGATCAGTTTAATATCCATTTCAAGGCATTCTCCGGCTACAAAGAAAGAATAGTGTTCTCCAATTCATCTAGTGGAATTCTGAAGAAACGCAGTTTTGCAGCTCATGTGCACTAGAGTTTAGTGGCATTTTATGTTTTTTAGTGTGTCCCAAGGTTCCTATACATAGGACTTAATATTGTCGTATGAATCCAGGAAAATTAGGATTAAAAGTGTTTTCTGGGACCACAAGATGGCTCAGCAGGTATTGGTGTTTGCTATTAACCTGCCAGCCTAGATTTGACCCCCAAAGCATAACAGTCCAAGAAGAGAATAGAATCCTGAAACTGGTACTGCCTCTTCTCTGACCTCCACACTCACATGTCCCGGCAGGCAAATGCAAGTGTATGAACACACATGTATGAAAATATATGCATACAAGCACACACACACAAATAAATAAACAAATAAAGTTAAAAACCCTGTTAAATAATTTCTAAATGTCTTGGCTTTTTCTAAACATGCCTTTGGATCCTATTTCAGAGACATTTGAGGAGGAGGTCTACATAGTTTCTTCTCCCAAGCTGAAATACTCCATGCTAGACAAAGAGGGGAGGTTCATTAAACCTGGGGAGCTGATCACATACTTTACCAGGCTCAGGAAACTCAAGACCCTTAAATGCTCAGGAAGGTCTAAGGATCACAAGATTCACAAGGTGCCTTCACAAGGCTATAAAAGCAATAAACACCTGCTAGGGCCTAGGAGACTTTTCAGTGGAGCTCCTGTACGCTGGCACAAGTAGGCTACTCCAGGCATGCAGGTTTTGAGTCCTCACCCACGCTGAATTGGCCGTTTCAGAGCTACAGTTGTCTTTGGGTCACCCATGAGCCTGTAAGTTACCATAATAGACTAATTGTTCCACTAGGGTAGACTTGGGTGGGATCATTTCTTCTGTCTGTTATTAGTACCCTCTCTGAGGTGGAAAGATTTGCTCCCATCTCCCTGGCTCCAGGAAAACTCATAGAGCAACTGAGTCAATTTAACATCATTCACCCCCCCCCCAAGTGCCTATTGTCCACTAGAGTAATTAATTCTTCACTTTCAGAAATTTAAAAAACTTGATTGATATTGAAACATAGAAAAGGACACACATGATGAATGCATGTGATTTTCCCACAAACACTCAAGTGTGTGTGTCTGTGCGTGTGTGTGTGTGCGTGTGTGTGTGTGTGTGTGTGAGAGAGAGAGAGAGAGAGAGAGAGAGAGAGAGAGAGAGAGAGAGAGAGAGAGAGATTGGTGACCGGACATAAGAACTTTGGAGATACACCAATAGGAATCACATCCTTTTGAGTCACCTGTATGAGAACCACTGGCCATATATCAATGGCCTAAGGATCTTTTAGGACATAGATTGAATACGTATTTATATAAACTAAAATTATAGAATGGCATTGCATGAGCCATCCTTCTGAAATAATTTATAAGTAAAGAGAAAAATAATCCAGATAAAACTATTTGTATTCTCTTGGACATTGGCTTTCCATTACTTTTAATTAAAAATGATTTATTTATTTTGTTTTGATTTTATGTATATTAGTGAGTGTCTGCATGTATGTAGGTGTATCACATGTGAGCCTAACATGGTGGATGGTGGGAATCCAGCCTGGGTCCATTGGAAGAGCAGAAAGCAGGTTTAACCAGAGTCACCTCTCCAAGCCCCTTCCTTGACATTCTTAATAAAGGCATCTTTCATATTCTTAGAGATCAACTTGGAGACCCTTTTTTACTTAAATTTGGTTTTAGCCTGCCAAAAGTCAATTTATAGTCCATAATGGTAAGCTGCATAATAAAACAATAAACCTTCTTATCTTAGCATTTATCTCAAAGATGAGTAGATGTGTTAGTGTGGTTCTAAACTAAATAAGAGCAATCTGACAGGAAATTAAGGTGATTTGAGCTTAACACAATTATAACTCTACTGTTTTCTTCAAGCCTGGACGGCTTTGATCATATCTGAAGCAGGATAACTCTTCTGACATACACGAACTTTCTTTGTTAGGTTCTTTTCCTTGTAGACTGCTCATTGCATGCAGTTAGGAAGGTTTGATAGATGAGGGAAATAAAACGTGTGGGTCAAGAAAGTCTATATACACTATAAAAATGGATATGTGTTTAGAGGAACGAATATGTGAAGGTATCAAAAACAGTCAGAGGTTTATTCTAAAGCAGACTTTAAGTCTTGTTTCTAGGCCATATCCTTGAAAATTTTTAAATATTTTCCTGAAATATGCTTTTTTCTCTGATCTGCACAGCATTCTTATCTCTGAACGGAAGGGAAGCTTATTTATCATGCTTTGTTACTACTATGAAGAAATCAGTTATATTTTACAATTTACAAATTAATTAGATAACACAAAAAGAAATTGATAGGATTACTGGGAACACGATTCAGGCACTGAGCACATGTTTAGATTACTGGAGATCTTGGGTCCCACCTTTTACTAATTCTGGGCTGGATCTATAGTTCAATGGCAGAATGCTTACCTAGCAAGAGTGAATCTCTAGGTTCAAACAGCAGTTTATATATATTTAAAAAGAAAAGTTGTGATTTATTTGTATTTTACTATTTTTTTTTTCCAAATAGATTTAAGAAAATAAAGAGCATATACAAAGTCCAACTTCGCATGTTGCACCTTAGGCGAAATACTGAGAAGAAAATTCAGTAGCATTTCTGTGATTTTTAACAAAGTGAGCTGGGGCTGGAGAGATGGCTCAGTGGTTAAGAGCATTGCCTGCTCTTCCAAAGGTTCTTGAGTTCAATTCCCAGCAACCACATGGTGGCTCACAACCATCTGTAATGAGGCCTGGTGCCCTCTTCTGGCCTGCAGGCAGACACACAGACAGACTAATTTATACATAATAAATAAATAAATAAATATTTAAAAAATAAAAAACAAATTCCATTTGAACTACTCATTTGAAGTAACAGTTCAAAGTTTAACTAGACTCTCGCTATTAAGCCCATCTTTGTCCACTTATTTTAATTCTAATACTTTAATGAGCAAGTAAAATACCACTTAATGAAAAAGGAACTAGAAGACATCTTCAGGCAAACAAACGCTACAGGCTAGCAGCAGACAGGCCGTTAGAATAAGAACCTCTAAAATCACACAGCAAGAGGGAGTGAAACTGGAGGTAGGCAGGGAGACTGAGACCAAGAGATTTTGGAAAATAAACAGAAATTGATGTGACGGAAATAAGGTAATTTGAGTTTAAAGTAAACTGAAGAATTAGAAGGTAAAAAGTTTGGCACAGGTGTTGTTAATCAAGCAACTAAGAACCAACTGCAGGGAAAAGATGGAGATGTTGTTGAAATTAGAGAAATGTATTTATCTCCAAATTACCAGGGCAGTAAAAAGCAATAAAGGCAAGTTGACCAAGCTCTAAGAGGATGAGGGTATAAAATGGAGGTTATCTCAAGGACACACAGAGTAAGTCAGAAGTGAGCATACTAAACAGAAGGGGGCTTACTTTTCTAGTTCAGAGAGTGAGGCAGGCAGATCAGACGTCAAAATGCAAATTCAACTATTCAGTATTTAATGCCTCAACTTTAAGAACTCTGGGAAGTAGGAAAGATTAAAGAGCATAAGTTCCAGGAGGTGGATATGCACACAGAGCCCCAGGCATGGTGACTGACTGGGTAAACCAGGTGGCTTTCCTTGGTTGAGCACACACAGGGTCCAGCTTCTTTCATCTGCTCTGAAATGAATCAGTTTGGAGTCAAGCTTTTTAAAACCAAGAAAGTGTAGCAGAAGTGATTTGAGATCGGATCCAAGCTGTTCCCGAACTCTTCCATATGATTTCTGTCATTGTTTTGTTTGTTGGTTTGACACTCTAGATCAGGATCTGAGGTGTCTGAGATGGTAGAACCTGCCACAAACAATTGGAAACCCTGGCCACTGCTTGGAAAAGAGAAGCACCCCCCACCCCAGTCCATCCGCTGTTTCTAGGACTTCTCATGATTGGCAAACACTGTCATTTTGCCACTGGTCCCAGCGGTGAGCAGGAGTATCTGGAAAGCGGCTGTTGGACCCCACTGCTGCAGCACACCAGATCCGGGAAGAAATACTAAAAGCCTTATTCTCACTTGTTTAGTATGTGTGTAGTGTATGTACACGTTTCTTGGTGTACATGTACTTGTGAGTATACATGCAAGTTCACATATGCGAATGAGTGGACACCAGAGGTTGACATTGGGTATCTTCCTGAACCACCCTGCTCCGTAGTTTTTTGAGATATTTATTATTTATTAGGTAAACAGTGTTCTGCCTGCATGTATGCTTGCACACCAGAAGAAGGCACCAGATCTCATTGCAGATGAGCCACCATGTGGTTGCTGGGAATTGAACTCAGGACCTCTGGAAGAGCAGCCAGTGCTCTTAACCTGAGTCGTCTCTCCAGCCCTGAGACAAGAAGACAAGGTCTTTTAGTGAGCTTGAACTCACTGATCCAACTGAACTGGCTGCTTGTAAGATCGAGGGATCCATCAATGCCAACACCACCTCATCCAAGCACTGGAATTGTGGGAACATGCCCCCTAAGCTCAGCTTTTCATGTGGATGCTAGTGATCTGAATCCAGAGCATCAAGTCTGCATAGTGGGCACTTCCCCATCCGGCCATTTCCCCAGCCCCCCAATACTGGAAGCCTGAAGACAGTTCTCGGCAGCAGAAATCATTTGGTAGAAATGTTAGTCTGGTAACTTGAGAGATAATCACCACTAACTTGGGGCAAGTCTGAAACTGTACGGTCATATATCCTTGTCAGAACAT